ACAGCTAATGGATTTACCATGGTGGCAAACGTCTCCAGGGTGTCATTCAGGGAAGAGGAAACTTTCTGAAAGAAGAGCTTCCACGCTTCTACGGGGTGTGTCGTTTGGCTTTCCAGCGAGCATTTCAGCAGTGTGGCCAGGTTTTGCGGCGCAAGCCGGCCAGCCTTAAAAACGGATGAAAGGAGAAACGAAGAGACACCTGTCAGAACTCCCACATACTTCTCTTAGGGGTGTACTTAACCTGCATTTTTCTCTTGAGTTTACAGGTCGCACATAAAAGTCTTACCACGGAGCAGGCATGTTCAGTGATGGTAAAAGAGCACAAGGCTGCGGAGGAGTTGTCAGCTGCCAGCGTTTGTTGGACTAGTGACCTGAGCCAAACAATGATAAAAAAAAAAAAAAAATAGGTTACCACCTTTTGAACTTTGTGTCAGAGAACTTGCAAACTTCACATTGGCTCTGTCAGTAAACCACCCACCTATTGACCTGAGCGCAGATGAGGTTCTCTGGAAAAGACCAGATTTTTGTATCAGAACTTGGTACTTGACATTCAAATTGCATTAGTTGGTGAACTTCAGTGTGGTTTAATACTTACCATCAACAACTGTTTCCTTGCACTGGGGGGATATAATGGCAGCAAAAATGTTAGGCTAGTGAATAAAACTAGCTGCGTCACAGATGTGTTGGTTTTTCCACTATTGCATACGTTATGTAGGAACAGTGATTGGAGCTTGAACATTTTCTAATAGTGCGTCATTTGCCTTTTGCACCTATGAAAGTGATCTTACCGTGAAAGATTCTGGTGTCGAGCAACCTGTTTAACAACAAAAACGAAGTTAGCCCTGGCTTCAATACATTGCTGTCATGCCCTGGCGTTTTGAGCAAAACTCTTGTTTTCAAAGCAGCTTGGACACCTACGTGGGAAAGTCTCTTTGAGGAACTCGATGCTTGAATTGATGCCCATCGACAGCTCCGGTGGTAGAGGGAATTTCGATGTTTTCTGAAGACCGGTGAGACTAAAGGAAAAGACAATTTCACTTTGCTGGAATGGAACCACATTATCCCCCATCACACAAAGCCAAAGTTTGAAGTGGTTGAATTAAAAACAAAAAGGTCTCACATGGCCATGTAGGATGCGCAGCTGATGTCCTTTGGAATCACCCTCAGGTAGGCAGGACGGAGGCTTGGCATCACAGGAACAAGGTAGACTTGGAACCACAGCTGGAATTCTTGTGCTCCAAAGAGCTCAAATGCAGGCGCCAGGGCCGTCAGGCTTATGTTCAGTATGGTTTCTCGTACAGCTGCGTTTGTGATGAAGGTAATGTTTTTCTGAAAACAAAAGCATTCAGGTTGTAGTTCAAGAGCTCACCACATCCTGGTTATGGGCAGAAATGGAGACGCGTCAAAAATTCTGTCAAAATTCATTGGTAGAAGTCCAACAGTTGACCTAATCGTTGGCTTTACATGGATACACAACCGCTTCTACGCCCCAGAAGGGGTTGTTCGTGTGTGGTTTGACAAAGAACTCTCTGGGGGAAATGTGACCAAGTTAGTGTGAAGCATTCACCTTCTCGCTGATTTGTGCAAACGTCTGGAAAAACTGACTGAGCTGTTCGTCCTTGCCGGACAGTTTCAGGCTTGTGAGCACGTCCCTCACGAAGTTGACATCCTCCAAAGCGCCGCTGTCTGGATCCAGTATTAGCTCAGCCTTCTGTTGCTCTGTGAGAACACCTACGACTGTTGCCTGTTGATACAAACCAAGAACAAGAGTAAATGTATCTTTGTCAAGGCACGGAAGAGCGAGCCCTGTGCAGACCCATTCAATTCCGATTGTTGGATCGTATTCTGTAGAGAGGACCTTTGGTGAAATGCCTCAATTACCTGGGAGAGGTTGAAGGCTTTGAGGTCAGAGTAAGTTGTGTATTGAGAAAAGGGTCCCAGG